TTTCCACTGCGCCTGAAAATATGCCACAAAAGGTTGATTTTAAGTGCCAAGGAAACGCACACATATTGAACTTTTTTAGCTGCATATTTGTCGTAGCAGCATACTTAGAAGCGTAGTAGAAATCACAAGTGATGTGCCTAGTTTTGTGACTTTGTTAGAATAGCGGAGTGAATGATTATGGGTTAAGATAAAAAAAATTAATTAATACAGAAATATGCGCATTAACAAACAATGAAATCCTTTAGTCGTACATCAACTCACAAGGTCTCTAATCAACGGAAAAACTAGTAAATAAAATTAAACTGTTTACGATAGGCAGTCCAAAATACAAATATCAGGAGAATTTAATAAAAGCACACATGTTTCATATTTTATAGAAGTCAAAAGTGCAGAAATACAATACCATGCATACAGTAAAGATTAATGTTCTTTGTGGCAATCATTTATATTCTGAGATGTCGTTTCCTTTCTTTACCGCCTAGGGTGCCTCTGGAGTTTTCAAATTATATTTCGACTTTATATTATTAAGTTCTTCTTGCTTCTTATCCACGTCCAGGCGTTTAAATGCTTTATTTGACTGGTAGTATAACACAACCAGATAACGATTACAAACGTTAAAGCCAGACAAATGATCACAAGCATTCTTGGCGTCGAATATGTCCTCGTAGACAACAAAGGCAGTTCCACGTGTCTCCGGTGTATTCCCACTTCAATAGAAGGAAACATTAACGTATCTGCACGCTTTTATAAAATATCTACTTACACACGAATTTGTCTTATTGCACCAAACTTCCCAAATATATCATACATTTCGTCCGAGGTAATTTTATATGGCAAATTTCTGACGTACAGCAGCCGATTTACCTCAGGTGGTAAGCGAATCTACCAAATATAAAAAAATATATATAATTAAACGAATTATGGGAATTGCATACTAATACTATATAGTCAACAAACTTACATTGTTACGTTTATTCATTGCAAGTTATTTCTACTCCTTTTGTGGATTTTTATAGATATTGTTTGGCTGAACGTGAGCGCACTTTGGATTATCCTTTGTGTCTAATCTACACCTTCTACATTCGCCTTTTCAGAAAAAACAAAGGTCTTTTTGGTCTACAATACAAAAGTACCCTTTTTCTCCTACACTAGAGATGAGCAGTGTTGTTCCGATACAAGTAGGTATGAAACGATAAGAGTAAATACAAGTACATACTCGATACTTTTTGTTTGATACCAATTAATTTTGGTAATGGTACCATATGGGCCTCCGCACACTGGACTGCTCAGTCCCCTAAAACCGGTTTTGTGTGGAAAAGACGGGGTAGAGGGTTCGAGTTTACCTCGCTCAGTTCAGTCCGCGAAAATTGCGGATTGACGGTGGATTGACACGCACACATAGACAACATGTTTTCTATTTCGTTTTGTTTGCATGTGCCACATGCACTAACACCAGAGAACGTACATATATGAATGAGGAACATTTTGCGTGTACCATAGTTTATAGCAAAATTAAAAATAAAAACGAATAAAAGAGAAACAGAAATCAAATAAGTACTAGGCAGAGGGGGTGCTTGCGGAGGCACGCGCGTGCTTGTGTCGGATCAAAACAAACTCTAAAATAAAAATGGAAGTCAGAACAACAAGTGTAGAGAAAGAACCGGGAAACGGGGAAAGGAGAGGGGTTTTGTACATTTGCTTGCTTGCCGAAAATATGATATTTGCGTGAAATCGATTTGCTGATTGCAAATAGATTTTTACGAACATGTATGAATTTTTCTTTTAAGCTAAGTTAATAAGATTTTCGGGTGGGGTTTAGTAGCGCTCACAACTATTTCGGGCTATTCCGACCAAAGGGGTGGCCCGATCAAAAAAAAATTCCACACACTTGTATTCAAGGGTCTACGCATTATTTTAACACTCACTTTTGTTAATTTTGGTCACTAATTTATTTACAAATAGGGTTTGAAATATGCCCTTTTTTGTAAAATTCGGAAATTAGCGTACATTTATCACTCCTATTATCCTTAAAGCAATCACTTCACCAATACATTTTTGTATTCCCCCTCACTTTACACTTTACTGGATTAGGTATAGCTTGCTTTACGACTTTAATATTAACCAATTAATCACAATTCATTAAATAAAAACACCTTCAAAATCACGCGTCTGACTTTGGTTGCATATGCGAATTAAATGGCGGAGTTCAGCTGTCAAACTCCAAAATATGCAATAGAATGAGAGACAAAATAAGATAGGATATAACCCAGTAAGCATTAAAAATATACAAAGGTGTTCTCTGCAAAAAGTGGTCAGCTCCTTTTCTTCGCAAAACCGAAAGGAGAATTCTAATGCCTGAGGGTTATAATCCCTAAGTGCTGCCGAAGGCCGCCTACGCAGAAAGGTGTTCTCTGCAAAAGGTGTTCAGCCCCCGTTTTTGGCAACATAGAAAGGAGAATTCTACTGCCTGAGGGTTATAATCCCTAAGTGCGGCCGAAGGCCGCCTACACAGAAATGAATTCTACACAAAACCACATTTGTTAAAAATAACATTTATTTTATAAAAACTTGTTTTTTCTATTTTTAATTAACTTTTTTATTCTTTATTCAAAATTGCAAGATATCTAATTTGGCATAATTTCTTTTATTAAAAAATCCCACGGTTTCTGTTAGTTGGGTCATATTCCACTTCAAACTGCTCAGTTTTCCAAAGAAAATTCCGTTTTTCCCCCTTTTCCAAACGGTTCCCTAGGGGCCTATGGGAGGAGCCCAAGGGGGGGAGAGGGTTACGCCTTNTCCAAAGAAAATTCCGTTTTTCCCCCTTTTCCAAACGGTTCCCTAGGGGCTTATGGGAGGAGCCCAAGAGTTACCATTTTTTACTAGAAATCGATCCCGTACTTTTCAATGTTACTCTCTCGTAGAGCTCTCGATTTTGTTCGCACATTTTCAAACAGCCCGGGTATATGAGCAGCGAGTACTCGCACACTTGTTCAATGCTCATTACTCGAAAATTTTCGAGCATGAGCTCGAGCAATTCGAGTTTTTTCGAGTAATTTGAGCAATGTTGGTTTTATTATATTGACATTTTTGGTAGCAACTTTTTAAATTTTTCAAATTATTGATACATAATGCAAAGATTGTTACATTGGTATTTAATAATATAATTTATTTAACATGAATTAGAAAGCAGCTGCTGACAAATACAATTTACAAATTTTCTTTTGTTTATGAAATTGTTCAAAAACTCGAAAATTTTGAACAAACATTTGAGCAGTTGAGCAATGAACGAGTTTCGAGCGAGTATCGACCTACTCGCATTGCTCGATACCCGGGTATCTAGAGCTCTACTCTCTCGCTCTGAGCGAATTTTTATTTTTTGACAGGTTTACTAGTTTTAGTCCGAGGAATACGGGATTGCACCTTAAATAAGGTAGAAGTGATTTTGAAATTTCTCTCTTTTCATTAAAAAATCAATTACGTGCTATGATATTTTTGTAGTTTTTTTTTCGACCACATCCATTTATAGATACATATACAAAAATGAAAAGTAGAAGGAACTACGAGCGTTGCGCTATGTGTGGCAAGAGCCAAGACGTTAAAGTGGTATGATACGTTAGGGCATCTAGTTGCGAAGTTAGAAATCTTCCTTGGGATAACCGCTGCGGTGTTCAATTGCAAGATTCTTCCCGTGTGTGTGAAAAGTAATTTCAACGCGAATGATTTTATTACTTCCCCATTGCAGGAAAATGTTTTTAAGCGCATGCGTTTATACCTAGGTGCAGTTCCCATGCCCTGGGAGGTTCCTGTGCCTGTAAGGCCTGAAGAGCACGAAAGTTGAGAAGTGACGAAGTGAGATGATCTGTTGATGCGCAGGGTAAAAACATTGTGGAGCGGCGAGCAAAGCGAAGAGCTAGCATCGAGCAAAGCTCCATCCAATTAAAAACATGTATGTATGTACGCTTTGCTCTGAACTATGCGTTCTCCCATTGAAACATATGCGTTTGAAATCGACGCTTTGCTCGATGCTCTTTGCTCGCCGCTCCTCTATGTTTTGACCAAAAAAGCTGATGCCATATAAAACTTTTGCTGCGCTTTACGTGACAGATTCGCTTTGACAGAGTTCCGATTAGTTGTCACTTCTACCTTATTAAATATGCCTTGTTTATATCACCTTGAACAATAGGGGTATTCTTGAAATCTTGCAAAGCCATTGCAAATTGAATAGATTGCATAGCTTGCAAACACACAACAACAAAATACATGGGAAACAAGATGTGCTAGCATGATTCAATAATACAAGGTTAGATAATTATTGACAGCTGCGGTTTGACACTCCCTTAAAAAAGGTTGAATTTACGAAGGACGGAGAAAACGGGAGGAATGAAATCTCGGTAGTAGAAAAGTACCCAAAGTAGGCAATTAGTAGTGGAATTCCTTTTGTAAATGCTAATGTATTTGCAGGAAATCTGGCATTTTAAACGAAATGTTGAACGTAAAATTGATGTATCTATGTGAAATACGTAATTTGTAATGCTGTATAAAAACTGCAAAATGACTCAAAATTAAAATAAGACTACTGTTAGATTGATGTAAACATCCAATTTAAAAACAGTTTATGTTTTCATCAGTTAAATATGCTTCATATGCATATACAAATAAACATATTGCACAAACAAATTGTATTATTGAATCATGGTCTAAGCCCATGCATACATTTTGCAGGACAGCGTAGCAAGATAAATGCGATCCTGTGCTAGCTGTTTTAATGTAGGAACTGACAGATATTTCTCCGATTCCACTTGCTTAAATTATTTTTTGCTGTATCTTGTTATTGTATCTGACATAGACTTTTGCTGCTTGCTACCTATGCATGCTGTAACCTTGCAATTGGGTGCTGGCGTGCTCTTGAAAAGTTGGAATAGTATTTTTGCAATTTCGTGCAATCCGTGCAACGTGAGACTTCGAGAATATCCCTAATGTATATTTTAAGCTCACAAAAATATTTTATAATTGGTTTATATTTTATAGCTGATTATATTTAGTACAATAATTTATGTTGAGCACTAGGTACACTATTCTTAGGTATAACATTGTGAAAGATGTTGTAATTATCTTTTAATTATTATACTTTTTTCTTTTGTATATCCCTAACGCCATGAGTCGTTGAAGTACATATAAGTTTTTCCAGCACAAACATTTACATTTAATTAGCTTCAACCAATTGGGTGACACCATCCTTGGTTATTAACTGCAGTAAACCACCAGAATTTGGACGGTCTTTACCTTCAGTCCATTTGTAAAAGAGGCTATTATATAATAAAAACCTCCCATCATTAAATGTTCTAGTTTTGTTATATAGACATTCTTACCCAGCTACTTCTGTCAGAGGAGTCCATGTGCTGAAGTCTGCTTTCGGCATCCATTTGCGATTCATAGGAGTATCCAAAGTGACAGGGAGTATAGCAATAACAATGGAATCAGTGGGTAGTCCAGAGTTTTTACCAGCTAATGAACGAGTTAACTGATGCACGGCTGCTTTGGCCATACCATAGCCAATCATGCCAGGTGTGCCTTGCAACGCTGGTTGAGCTCCAGTCAATGTGAGTAAACCTCCATCCTTCAGGTACTTGGAAGCAACCGTTGCCGATATACTAGACGTCCATACACTTTGTCGCCACATTAAGTTTGCATTTTTAGCCAAATCTACGTGGAAAAGGGTAGAATATACAATGTAAATAAAGTGGCTGCATTTCTTTATACATTCCGGATAATCCCATTTCACAGCCGGAATAAACAGAATGCGTTTGAAATATACGCCAACATATCATCAGGAACGTTCTAAAGAATAAATAAACAAAAAAGTTTATTCCAAACGTTCAGAATGAATCAAGGTACATTGAACAGGTAGTATCAGTAGAGCAGCTGATTTGATTTATTTTCAAATTATTTGGTCTCGAAAATGTCAAATATTTTAAATTTTTTCTCACAAAAATTCTGAATTGTTAAAATCCATTTGCATGTGAAACCTTTTTCCATACAAAACAAGCGATTGAATAGCAGCTTTTGGAACGTTCGCCCAACTCAGCAGCACAACCGCTGATTACTGGCCCTTGTAAAGGATGGATCAATGCTTCGAGAAGCAAACAAATTTACTAGGAAAGAAAGTTGCAACAATTTTTATTTTTTCCAATTTCAATTTTTTATTTTTTATAATTTTTTGTATTTCACATGGCACGCTTTGATTTAGAAGAAAAAATTCAGAACAGTTTTTGACACTTTCGATACCAGAAGCAACAACAAAATACACGCAAATGTTGTTTTTGCTCTACTGATACTACCTGTTTAATGTGCCTTGGAATGAATAAAGAAATGCAGCCAGTATTTTCAAACAATATAAAATGTCAAGGAGCTGCAAAACTTTTCCTGTTCACTTACTTTCAACAATTTGTCAAGAGGTAGGAAAACTTGTTAAGTTTTGTGGCGGTTTGGTTTTATATGTTCTTTAATATTCTTCTCCATAAATATACATACATATCTGCAAAAATATGCATTTGCACCCAACGACAAAAAATCCCTTGAAATATTTGTAAGACTATTTTAGAGATATCTGAACAGAAAGGGGCGCATATCTCGCACACCTTATTTCAAAAGGGAAACAACTCAAAAATCAGATCCGAAAGTATAACTGCTTGTGTGCTTGTATGTACTACATAAAAGCCACACCGGGCACTTACTTACAGAAGCATTGAAACAAAAACGTACATATCGTCGTTTAAAGTACAAAACCGCGTATCAATATAATGCACATCCGCGAATGTGAGGTTGCATAAATTATTTTCTAGAGAGTACGAACTCTCATATTTCAAAATGATTCTCTTTTTTATAAAGCAACCGCATTTCTGGCTAGTATATTTCAGGACGAATGGATAAGGATTGAGCCATAAGCTTGTGGGGAAGTGTGAGCAAATCCAATTTTTGGCAGCAAATGTCAGTTACGCGTTTTTGCACAATGACGACGATATGTATTACATGATATCGGCAACCCGATCTTAGGACTAGTTTTGCCTAGGCTAAACTAGATCAGGCGTGACAGTATTTTTGCGCAGAACACCTTTTTGCGTAGGCGGCCTTCGGCCGCACTTCAAAAAAATAACCCTCATCAGTCCAACTCCAGGTAAGCAGTCCACAATATTGTTGCGTCCAGCTTGTTTCCGCATTGGGCGGATATACATATTAGATCTAGGTAGAACTAGTTTAGCCTAGGAAAAACTAGTTTGTCCTAAGATCGGGTTCGGCCGGTTACGTATATAAGTTAAAGTCGATGTACAATTTCCACATGAGGGGAATTTTACGTAAACGAAGGTGATGCTCACGAATATTTAGTATGAATTTTTGGTTTTACTACTAATATCACTAGAAACTGTAGAGTAAGCAACATTCTGCACAAGTAAAGGAGCCGATTTTATGTGTGGAAGCGAGAAGACTGTTTTATTACAAAACCTTTCTATTATTGAATCATGGTCAATTGCCATATTGCTACTTTTTTCTAACAGCCAATTTCAGCCAAACAGCAATTTAAGTGAAAAATGGTTTTAATTTTTTTAATTCTATATGGAAATTGACAAAGTAAAAAATCATTTTCCATTTAAATTGCTGATTAAACCGGCTGTAATAGTCCTAATGCGGAGAAGGTTTAATATAAGAATTGTTTCTTTAGAGCTGTTTATAAGCTCCAAACCTTTCATACACCGTGGATATTGTTTAAATAACAAATGAAGGCCCAGAAATAAACTGCGTTGGTACTGAGTCAGGCCTTAAAGCAGAGGAGGGCAACCTCGGCTGAGCATTTTTGTAGTGTGCGTGCAATTGATGTCACTGTGTGCGTGCGAACAAGTCGCTCTCCAGTGCTGCTGGAGTCAACCGCTACTTTTGAACCGCGGCTGCACCGACTCCTAGGTAAGTAGCTGCTCTATTAACCCGTGGTAGTGCAGAGTTGAATGAAGCTTTCGCTGCCTTCTCAAGCCTAGCGAGTATTAATACGCGAATACAGCGCGCAGTCGCCCGCCGGGAAGACGCTGCCCAGCTGTGACTTGAACTCTTTCGCTTCACTACTGAAGCAGAAAAGTTGTTTGGACTAAAATGATTCCCCCATATGTATGTGAGCTGTGGAAGGCAGTTTCCCATTGTTTTTCGAAAATTCGTCGCTTGGTAGACAAAACATCGAATCAGAACACTTAGGGCCGTTTTCTGAAGTAACCCTTAACTTTAAAGCTCACTTTATATTTAAAGGTTGGATTAAAAATAAAGTTAAAGTTAAGCATATCTGTTACCTATCTGTTATTAAAAATAAAGCTAAAGTTAAGCAAATCTGTTATCGGTTTTTGACGGTTTTTTTTGGGGCGTTATTTTGTGATCAATAAAACAGTCGTATTTAACCGGAGCTTTTACTTACGGTTTGTGCTAACCGCTCATTGTCAAATACCAAATTTACATTTTTGTTTTGGCTACTTGGTTCACTGTATACACTGTGGTGGTGGCTAAAGCATTAACAATATTTTTATAACAAATAAAAAAAAATTTGCAAAACATTGCGAATTAAAAACCAATAAAATTCCTTCTTTAAGTCACTGTATGCATGTATGTACATATACATACTTATGTAGGTAAGTACCTCAAAAATTACTTACCATTATTACCACAATTACATACATAATTATTCGATAAAACCAAATTCAAGTATCTATCTTGTCGTAGATTCAGAAGGAAGATTTTTTGTCGTCGGGTGGCCTTCTTTGAATTACTAACCTTTGGCGGCATTACCACCCGCCCAGCCACCGGCCACGCAAATTACAGCATCCAATTTCTGTCCATTCAACGCGTCACCAACTTTTGTTAGAACTTCAGCTTCCTGCTCCTCCCAACCTAGATCACGGGGTAATACGATACTGGCGTCCGCGTCTTCGTTAACACTAAGATCAATACTTCCCACCCACTAAAATACATACTTTCGATTTATTAAAATCCAAAATTGTAAAAAGTTAATAGTTGGCTCTTACGTAGTTATTTGATTTAAAGTGTGAAACACAGGCAGCGCCCAAAGCGCCTTTGCCACCATAGACTAGCACACGGCCAACCATATTGATACACTGCTTCACTGAAATGGCCACCGTGTCCGTACAGCGAAAGATTAAAGACACAACTGAATCACGAAGTGATGACGTTTTAATGTGTATCAGAAAAACCACACAAAAATGAAGCAAGAAGGCGTTCGTGCGGGTAGGAAATATGTACGAATAAATAACACTTGTTAGATTTGTGAGCAAATACAAGTTTTTCTACTTTTTGCAATGTATGTATTACATAGTACTGGTACTGCTGCAATTGGGTTTGCTGGCGGTTGATATGCAATCGTTTCTTTTTTTCCAAAAGCCAGTGACCCTGTAAAGAATGAAAGTTGCATACATACATATGTATGCACCTTAGGGTGTTCCAAAAACAGTAAAGTCGGAATTGTAATGCTCTTACCCCCTAGGAGTGTTCTATTGAAGTCAAAAAATATTTAGAGGTCGCTCAAAGCGCTCAAAGTTTTCCATGCATTTTTATATAGGTAAAATAAAATTGTTCGTTGAAATGGTATAAAATTCTTGAAAATCAATAATTTTGGATCGGAAAACTCTGGTTCTCTTCAGAAGACTTCCAATAACAATACCCAATTGTTTATTTAACCATTTTGTAATACTAACGATTTTTTATGGGTCGCCCCATTGCATTTTATACTTATAGTTGCGATTAAAAAATTGTTAAATAAACAATTGGATATTATTATTGGGAATCTCCTGCAGATAAACGAAGGTTTCTGGTAGATAAATATTTATTTTTACTATTCTATACCATTTCTACGAAAAGTTGTCTTTTCCCATATAAAATACATGGAAAACTTTGGGTGCTTTTAGCGACCTATTAATATTTTTTGATTTCAAAATAAAAAATAAGGATATAATTTTTTTCGGTATAGAACAATCCTAGAGGGTGAGAGCATAAAAGTTCCGACTTTACTTTTTCACTTGCATTTTTGGACCGCCCTAATGTACATACATATACGCTTGTATATGAATGCTTTATGTTCGTCTACATATATATCTGTGGACATTCGAAAATACAATTTAAGTCCATCTTTCACGGATAAACAAAATAGCACATGTCGACAGAGCTTTCTTTACTCAGAGCAATAATTTTCATTTAAAAGAAAATATTCAGTTATTGAAAACAGAAACTTCTTCAAAGGTTGTGATTAGCGATAAAATAATTATATATTTCTTTTGAATTACAAAATTTTTCTCTTTGGCAGTAAAATGTGTTTTGTTGACATGTGCTATTTTGTTTGTTCGGGAAGGATAGACTTAAGTTGTTCTTTCAAATGTCCATAGATATGTGTTTTAATTATAGTACATTCCAAATATTTAAAAAAGTATAGTAACTTTTTGCAGCATTGAACTTGTTGGCAAGTAATTGTTAGTATGTTTCATGTTTTCCATGCCTATTTTCACAATCGCTTTAGTATATAACTTTATATGTATGTATTATTAGAACGTCCGTTAAAAAAAAGCAAATTATTTCGCCAGGCGGGACTTCATTTTCTGAATATTAAGTCAAAAGTGAAAAACTCGAATAAGTTCTGAGATTCTCAGCCTCCCTCATTGCGAGAGTCATATCGAATGCAAGTCGTTTTCGAGAATCGAATCGTATCGAAAATTTCACGTCATTGCCTAAAATTTCTACTCGACTAGTGTATTAAAACGGGGAAACTTGGCAGCACTGCTCGCAATGAGGCTGTCTATATTTCTTTTTCAAATACAGAAAGCGACTTATTCGTTTTTTCCCAAATTAAAGGTCTTCGAATTCCTTATCAGCCTGCTGTATGCTGTTTTCCAGTCCAATTATCAGTTTAAGAGTTATCTGTAAATTTATGTCAGAAATCGGTAAAAAATTTCAAGATGCATCGTGATTTTATTGTTAATTTATTTTAAATTTCATACAGCATTATAATAACAATAACTTATTCGTTGTTCCCAAATTAAAGGTCTTCACATCCCTTATCAGCCTGTTGTATGCTGTTTTCCAGTCCGATTATCAGTTTAAGAGTCATCTGTAAATTTATGGCAGAAGTCGGGCAAAATTTTAAGAAGCGTCGTGATTTTATTGTTCATTTGTTTTTAGTTTCATACAGCATTACAATAATAATAATTATATATGTAATTTATTGGCGCTTACACAATATGTTAGTGTTTGGCCGAGCGTCTCCTCCGATGTGTCGCGTGTGGCTTGATGTCAGGGAAGCCAAATCGTGGGGAATTCCCCGATTTGCGGGGACTTTCAGTTTACGTGGGGAATCGGCGAATGGGCCGTTTTTTGTGGGAAATTTCAGGAATTAGGTGTGACTAATTTTTATTTTTTTTATTTTACTAATTTCATGAGTTAAAAAAGTTGCATAAGAAATACAACTGCAACTAAAAGCACTGACTTGCAACCCTGCCAATTATGCAAACAACCGTTGATTTTTTAGAATTTTCTTTGTAGCATTTGCTTTCCTATAGTGAATAAAACAATTTGTTTTTATATGGAGGAAAACCGCAACCAACACCAAACTAAATTCTAAATGGAAAATTTTTAGCCACTTGAAACTTGCACTTTATTATACTAGAACTGAGTGTGCTACAATAACCCAAAATCTTTCTAGGGAATCAAATTAAAAAAGTTCGTAATTTGTACGACAGTTTGTTGAATTTTTTTAATATTGCACAAAGTTTGAAACTTGGATTTGTACGGTTTTTGTTGGAGAATTAACTATATTTTAATAAAAAAAATAGCTCAAACTAAATGACAAAAAGTAATAATTGTGAGAACTTTTCAAAATTTGGTGCGCCTAAAATTTTTTCGACCACTGTATGTATCAGAGACCGGTTTTGAGTAATAATAAAATTAGTGTACTTATTCATGATCCATAAAAATTAGTGCAAATGAGCACTTACACTAATTCAAAAAATGACTAAGAGTAATTTCCACCAAAACAAGAACACACTCAAAATATACTAACTCTTATTTGTGGCGGCAATTTTTTTCTCTATCGAGTATAGTCTACCCAGCTGGATTTTACTCATTTGGTCGAGTGAGAGGCTGAAAATAATTTCAATGAGTTTAATATTATTTGTGTTCTGCTTTGTTATACATCATGTGTGCATTTTTGGTACAATTGTACTTTTTTGATACAATTTCGTTTAGTACGCAGTACTTTTTAGTACAATTTTGTGATGAATACTATAAATATATACGTAGCTCTGAAAATTCACTGCGGGAATTCCTTTTATCTTTTTGTCTTCGCCTTCTCGTTTTTGCCTTTGTAAGTTTTGAAAAAAGGTTTTGAAATAAGCATTATATCATAGCAAAAGGTGTGCTATCAACCTCACATTCCTAGGCAAGTTTTGAAAGAATATTTTCGATACTAAATCTTATTAAAACAAAATGCCAAAATCAGCTTCATATAGTTAGAAACAGTGTCATCGTTAATTCTTTATGTTCTTAAATATCATAACTTCACGACACTCATATATTGACTAGAGTTGACTATTTATTTTATTATTTTTTAATTCTAATTATTTGTTTATAAAAATATAGTTAATTGCTTAACAAAAACTGTATGAAAATAAGTTTAAATCTTTGAACATTAAAAAAATCGACAAACTTTCGTAAAAATTTCGAGCTTTCTATTTCAATTTTAGTATAATAAAGTGCAAGTTTAAAGCAGCTGGAATTTGCCGTCAATGTCATATTATCTAAACGCGTTTTTTTTTTACGAAGAAAATGAGCACCACCTTCATCAAAAAAAATATATATATATTAAAAATCAACGATAAGTCCCAGCTATTTTAAACTTGCTCTTCATTTAAATTGATCGGACTAAAAACGGCATTCTCAAAACATGTATTTCTAGGAAATCGAGTTAAAAGCCCGAAATTTTTACGAAAGTTTGATTTTTTTAATGTTGCGCAAAAATTTAACCTTGGGGTTTTATTAAAGTATATACTGCATTTTTATGCAAATGCAAATAAGTAAAATTAAATAGTTTTAAGATTAATTGCCAATCTTGTCAATATGTGAGTGTCGTAAAGTTTTGATAAGCACTTGAAATATTAAAAATAAAATGTCAAACTTTAGTACTGAATTCAAAGAAGATGTCTGCTTTATCCATGCATAATAACTTTAAAAAATTTGTTTGTTAAGAAGTGTACCTTAAAATATGTGCATACACATTTATGTTCAAAGTGTAAAATGTACCTACATAAACGTTCCCATGAATACCATCAAATCATTGATCTTGAAGGGAATATATGTATGCATGTACTAAGAAAATATATGAGCAAATTAAAAAGTCGATGCAATTTACAGTCGTATAGCTTTTGTATAGATTTCGTACTGAAGGAACAGTTTTATTTCCCAACACTGTGCGACATGCGGGCGCCACCATAAACAAGTGTGAGCTAAAAGTGAGGGTGTGTGTCTTCGCATGCTGTCGCTTTCTCGTCGTTTGTACATGTTTTGTTGCTATAAACGACGAAAATCACTAAATTCACTAAAATCACTCAACTGAGCTATTGGTGCTTCTTAGTGCTCCTACTCATTTCGGTATAACTAATTTGTTTAATGGCTCAATGAGAGAATTGAGCACTACACCAATTCATATCAACAGAGGACTTATTCATTGTACATCCTCTCGCTTTGTGTGCCGAGCGTAAAACAGTGTTAGTGCATATGTGTGAATATTCTGCAATGAATAATATCCACTAACACTATTTCTTGTGTTATTCAATCAATTACTTAAAAACACGAATAATTGCGGTTCCCTGAAAGTGATGTAGAATTTTATCTACTTTCATTTGGTACTAAACCCTTCATTGTATTTTGAAATTCATTTTTTGAATTAATTCGCAATATCGACATCAATTACCCCACTGTGCGATGTTGAGCTCGAAATATTTAACGTTTATATACCCCCTGTCACCTGCTGCCCGGCAGGATATCACCCTGACATAGGTGCGCTCCTCAGAGGTGAAAACCGTAAGGTAGTAGGTGACTTTAATGCGCACCACGATCCTTGGCACTCAAGCCTGTCCAACGATCGTAGGTGAACTGACTTGGCTGAGCAGATAGACGATTCGACATTCTGCACAATGAACGACGACGCACCCACCAGGATTATGGGCAGCTGCTGCAGCTCGCCAGACATAACAATAGTCAGCGCTGGTCTGATAAACAGCATATCATGGCGACATATGCTGAATTTAGCATCGGACCATTTGCCCATAGTCATCTCGATCGATAAACCAACCGACTTTGCTTCCGCGGAACACCGGACCTATATCAACTTTTCTAAAGCTGATTCG